CCGAGGAATCTGGCATTCCCGGGATTCATGCGCTCCTCCACATTTCACAAATTTGGCAGCAGCTGTGCATTTGGACTGCCCATGTCCAAAAAGCTGGCACCTATAGCACTGGGTCGTCTGGCTCTTCGCATGCTGGGACTCCACTCTCACTCGTAGGTTTCCGAGTGCCCTCACCTCAAAAATTGATTTTTCAGTCTTGGGCAGCAGCACCAGGACCACTGCTATGGGCTGTCTATTTTTCCTCCATCTCGCAATCGTGGTAGGGTGGAAACCTAGCTCGGTTAATTCCGCCCTAATTTTGGCCTCAGTCCACAATTCCAGCACTCCTCTGATTACCACTCTGAGCTGCTTTTCTTCTTCCAGCTGGTATGTATGATATTGGTACTTGTTGTTGTCAAGTACTCTTATCATTGCCCTATAGTCTTCGCTGGTGGGAGGGGGCGTTCTCACTCCATCTTTTGTAGTCACGCCACAGCCGTAATTTATCCTCTTTTCCATCAGCCTCTTTGTAATTTCATCGTACTTTCCTTTTCCTCGCAAAACGATGGGAGGGATCTTATCCCTCCTCTGCTGGGCTGCAGGGGTGGCCTGCGACTGGTGGGCTGCAGGGGTGGCCTGCGTCTGCTGGGCTCCCGTCTGTTGGGCTGCAGGGGTGCTCTGCGTCTGCTGGGCTCCAAGGGTGGTCTGCGTCTGTTGGGCTCCAGGGGTGGTCTGCATCTGCTGGTGGCTGAGGGGATCCTGCTGTCTGGTGGGCAAAAGAATAGCTTTACCATTAATGATTCCCTCACTGGAGGACAGACGCCTGACTCTCCTCTTCCGTCGGCGATTTCGCCTTTGAAAGGCCTCGCCGTCAGAGGAGTTGGGTAGCAGGTCCCTGTCCTCCTTTAGGGGTGTTGAGGGAGTTCCCGCTTTAGCGGGTCCCTCAACGATTCCGTCGCTGTCGCTGGAGGACATCCAGGAAATATCCTCGATTTCCTCCTGCTGCTCGGCGGCTGTTTTGGCGGCCAAAAGTTTTTCGACTCTGTCCGCTCTGGATTTCCAGAACTCCGCCTGTACCAGCAAGGTCTTCACTTGCTGCTCAAGGGACTCGACCCTTTTGCGCAGCTCCTCCTGCGGCTGCTGCTCAGGCCCCATGGTACCTTGGACCTAC